AAGAATATTAAAAAATATAACTGAAACATTGATGTCAAAACACGATAGAAAAATGATGTGATAGTATAAAAATAAAAATAATTTTTCAACGAAATAATTGTTTAAATTAAGTAAAAGTTTAAAGTAAAGTTTAACTTGGTGGGCTTTTTTTTCAATTCAGTTGTTATAATTGCGAAATTCGTGTTTAACTTAAAGAGCCTATATAAACATTGACACACTTGATGCTTGCCATGTTTTCTATAATATGCAAATGTTATTTTTGCACGTGATTTGGGCCGTACGCGTTGTTTGACCCTAAGTTCAAAGACACGTGTGATTTATTTGTATTACAGCACTGCGTCGGCCGTTTATAAAATCCTTGAAGTTGTAAACACGGTTGTAATAATACTAATTAATAATTATTATTATTGTATATACTCAACCCGAGTAATAACATGCAGAATGGGAATTGTAAAACGCGAACGAAGAAAAGTGGTTGCGGAAGCATTTTATGTACAGCCCGTGTGGATCTTCTAGTGATCAATATAATAATATAATATGTATTTATATAATGACTCGACCCTCGACGCTTTGTCATAGTAGCAATGTCAAGGTTTTTAATTAGGCACTATTTATGCACACTAACGTTGGTCTATTGTCCCGTCCGAGCACGATTTCACTGATTTTTTTTTTTTTTGAAACTATATACATATTATTATATTATTATATCTCAGCAAATTCCATTGGAAATACATTATTTATTCCCCCTCTTTAAAAAAAAAAAAAAATTAATAAGTAGATAATATTTTCTGAATAATTTTAACATGCTTAAAAATGTTAAAGAAGCCGGTTGAAACATAGTTTTTGACCATTGAAATTCCATTATTTATAATAATAATAATAATAATATATACATTTTTAACACACGGGCTATTTATATTATAACACGTCTTATATATCTATAGGCCGTGAGTTATAACGTTTTGTAGGTTATACTATTAATACTTAATATATTTACAACACAACATTATATTTTTACTTTACACGTTCTATATAGAACACTGTAAAGGTGGCAAAACGACCATTTGGCCTCGTGCCCTTTCTTCTCGAGTCTTGATATAGCTACCGGATATTATGACTTGATAAGTGCTGCCCCACCGCATCCATAGCCTTTGTAATAATTTTCTAAAAAGTCGACTTGTGTGTTTGTTGTGATTATGAGCTACGCACCGCAAACACGGTTAATGTTGTATAACAGATATACACACAGGTATAATAAGTAATATATTCTTGAAAACGAGCGCAACCGTCTACATAATAATTTACCGTTTGCACATAACGGAATTCCAAATGTCTCAATGTGTTATTTTTTTATGTCAATTTGAATATCGGATTTGCCGTCTCACGTGCAAAACCACACAGCCACTCGATTAAGTGTTACACGTGATTCTCAAGTTCGACAACCCGCCATAAGTAGGACATTATGTGTACATAATAATATATACCTAGTTGTGAGTGGAAATGTCAACATAACCGGCGTCCAGAAATTGATATTGTACACAACGAGACCGCCCTATTATAATTACTGTGCGTTAACGACTATAACGAGCAGCACATAACCGACTGCGGTTTCTATTCTCACAGATATAATGTGCTGACAACAACGTTAAACATAAAATAATATTTTAAAAAAACAATCAACGCGGTGCCACTCATCTCTTTCTTAGCTGAGAATAAAATTTTTTTTTTTTTAAGAAAATACAAGGTGCGCAACTGACGTATAATATTTGTTAAAAATGTGTTTGTTTTAACTTAAAAATAAAAAAAACTAATGTAACTTCGAACTCCATTAAGTCGTTTTTAATACATCACCAGATGTATTAAAACACCTTTATACATAATAAACCTACATACCTAATAAAAATTGGCTATTTTACATAAAAATAAAACAACATATCAATAATGTAGAGCGTCGAATTAGTTGTTATACAAGCTACAGCCTAAGCCTATACAGATATGAATAAAGATTATAAATTCACTAATTTCAAAATTAAACAAACAAAAAAATCAGACAACGATAGAAAACTACAATAGGGTCTGGTAGATAGTTTTATGATGTTTGTTGTAATACTGGACTCATTTATTTTCATTTCAGTACACTAACATAAAACAATATTTTTACATTAACAACATTATTTTCTATGTTAGTGCACAACCCCTAGCATTGGTCCATTGATATTATATTATGAGCCTATACATATATATTGTATTATTATTTTTATTATATAATATATAATACAGGACAGTAGCGTATCTAGGATTTTTACACTGGGGTGGGGGGGGGGATATACAGATTTTAACAGACATGCCTATTCAATATAAACATATTTTCCTATCATTCATGTAAACGAAAATTTGGATTCTTAACTACAAAACAAAGTCTAATTTTATTGAGGACAGTGAAAGAATATTGAGTACTTCATCAGATGTGACTGATATACTTTTGTGTACTGATAGGGCCCTGAGGAGGGGGATACAACCCCCATAACCTTCCCCCTGTAAATACGCCACTGATACAGGATGATTCATTAAGGATAAGACACTCATTTTATCTTAATCTAATTGTAATTTTTTAGTTATTCTTTTTGGAGACACTTATGTTTATGCTATTTTACATTATTAGACAATATTCAAATTTTGTTCTTTTTTATTTTCTTCCAGAGCCTTATCAATTTTATATGGCAAGATAATATCCTTCCTCCCGTCATCATACATTTTAAACTTTAATAACTTGAAAAGTTAGTTATCCAAAACTGGTTATCGACCAGTCAACATTTTCAGCAAATTATTCATAATTTAAAACAAAATTGTTTGAAAGTGTTTTGAGTGTCTTGTCCTTAATGAATCTCCCTGTATATATTTGGTAAATTATTTTTAACGAAGAAAAATACATTTTGAATTATTTACTTTCGTTCACCTAATGTCCTAAAATTGTATTTTATTATAATAATACTGTATTAACCTTGAACGATACCATCGATGGCGCCTAACACAATGTTTAAGTAGTCGCCGAACCTACCCCACTGAGGTAAATTATATACTCATTGGGCGTTTTTTTTAAAACTAATTTTAATTATTATTAGCATTTAAGAATTGCGAGCGTGATTTGAAAATTATGTATATACTTCGAGCGAGTGAGACGACAAAAGATCAGGAAGATAAAAATTTAGTTATATGTATATATATCATGCATATCTAATGATGAGTATTTATACCGTGCACCTTATCTGTGCCGTGGTACATGTTATAATGTACAACAACGATGGAGAAACAAAACGATGACTGGACAGATTTCCAGGCGGTGGCGATCGCGTGCAAGGCGATGGCGGTCAAGTGCAAGTGCACAAAAATCTTATTCAAAAAGACACACGCGGTAGACACTGCACGGTCGGTAAGTATAAGATGTAAGTAATTTTATCATTATTATCGCCGTACAATGTATAATTGCGTCACTCGTCAAAAGGGACTGTCCGACAACAGAACATAATAGATGCACTATATAAGATGTAAATAATTGACCGTTATCGGCTGTATATATGTTTAGCTGGTGTCTGTGTGGACCGGGATGAGGTCACGTTAGGCAATTATGTGTTGTCCTATCTTTATAATCAGTGTGCACATATAGTCGAGTGTTATCTCTACCGATGGCTCGCGATGACTCAATGACCGATGATTTATGTTATCCTAACCCTATAAAGGGTCTGTTCTATGCGGGAATGATAAAACCCTAAAAAATACACTATAGACACCCGTGAAGCGTCCTGTATCGGTGTCCTGATCTGGAAATCTTTTTTAGATGAGCACAGTGATATAGGTCACCTTCTCGTTGCTCTTTCCCCGTTTGGGTATCTCACACTAACGGGTAGACACTGATAAAAACAATAGTCCAATCACTGAATCATTGATATTGTTGTCATCCTGATCGATTATTATCCTAATTAGTCAAGTAAATATGAAATCAAATTATATACAACAATTATTAGGGCATAACTTATACTTTGGAGCTTACTAGAGCTTTGTATCTTGGCATTATTTTCTAGTTCAGTGTATATAGGAAATAGCGGCGGTCTTAGGTTATGAAATATATATTGTCAAACCGTGTAATATTTTGCGCACATATTGTTCGATTTGTTATGGTGGTCTGGAGAGTGTGTAGTTTTTTTTTTTTTAGTAGACATAGTAAATGATATTTTAAAAGGTCGCGAACGAGCAAAATATAATGCGTCCGAGGTCAAAACATCCTACATCACAATTTATTGTATAACGTGTCAACGAAATATTGCGATGCCCCATGTCAGCGAGCAGGTATTTAAGATTAAGACACGTTTACGGGAAAGCAAAAAAAAAAAAAAATATTAAAAAAACGGCTAGTTATGAATGAATGAAAACCGCATCAATAGGATATATACGTATGAGTAGTCCACCGAGAACGTACAATCAGGCGTCATACGTGACGTTCGACCTTTTTGTACACAGACTAATGTATAAACCCTCTTTTTTTTTATACTACGTGTATTTGGGTTCGGTTGCATGTGTTTTATGTAAGCATTTATAGACATTTGTATCATAGACGATTCTTTTTATGTTGCGTAAATTGACTGCGACGAGTTTATCTAAGTTACTTTTCGACTAAATATTAGTATATGAACAACTAAAACGAGCGAATTCGTAGAGCCGGACAGACCAGCTGGGAGCGTTACTTTACATAATACGAATGGCCAAAAGTCTATATCCGATAGAAAACCCGACGATTACCAAAAGTCTCTGATAATATGTTTCTTTCAATTCAAGTATAGCACAGAGTGATCTGTTGTTTGTAGGACATTAGATAAGACGCGAGTATTCACTGAAAACTATGGCGGTTACATGGATTTTCTGTTAAGTACTTTGTTTGAAATGTCTGGCTTGATCAAAGTTCGAAAGCGTAAATAAGGTAAAGTAGGCTTTGTTAGTGTACTTACGCATTCCGGCCACGTGGTTCTTCTTCATCCACGGGTAGATGACCCTGTCAGAGGATTCGCTATCGTCCATCATGATGGGTGAACCGTTAACGGTGGTGAGCATCATGTCGTCCGTGTCCGTGTTGTCGTCCATGTCGTCGGAACACGATCCGTCCAGCGGGTTGTTGGACATGTGGTTGGACGAAGACGGACTGGGCTGAAGATGACAGGCCAGCGGCGACGGCGACGAGTCGTCCTTGATGTCGTGCGGCATGACGACGCCGTTGCCGGCCGGTATGCTGCCGCCCTGACTGCACTGCTGCACCGGGTTGTGCATGAGCGCGGCCGGCGGTTGCTGCGCTTCCAGAGGCACGTGCCCGTTGTGGTGCATCTGGTACGCGCCATAACTGGGCGCGGGGCCGGTATAGTACGACGGCGTCTGGCCCGGGCTAGGGTACATGGCCTGCATCTGCTGTTGGTAGTGGCCCTGGTACGTTGGCTGTTGCTGGTGCCCATGGTGCACGGCCGCGGCCGCTGTAGCCACGGCGGCCGTTTGTTGCTCATGCTGTTGTTGCTGCTGCTGCTGATGGTGATGGTGGTGGTGATGGTGATGCGGGCTGCCGAAAAAATCGGCCGGCGAGCTCATGTAGTTGACATTGTAATCGTCCGGCGGCGAGTACTTAGGTTCGGCCATCATCATCTGATGCATTTGCGACGGCTGGTGGTACGGCAGACCGGCGTTGTGCGTCAAAAACGAATTCATGTTGCGTGTGTCGTTGCTGTTAAGTCCACATCAACCGTATACAAGCACTCCGGAACCGTTCACGCACAATACACGTAAAGAAAAAAACGAAAACCTCGGTCGGAAGGCCGCGAAAACGACGACGGGCGATAAAACGTATTAAGTAGAAAAATAAAATAAAAATAATGTTATAATTGTATAAAAAAAAAGCGCTCGCGCCGACACACGGATCCGACGGTATCTCGGTGAACACTAACGACCTAAGAACTAGACGTTTTTCCCTAGGCTATCCTCCAAGACGTTTCGGTGTGTACTACAGCTGCGAGCGTGTGTTGTGTTGGTGGCGGCGGCGGCGGCTACGGTTACGGCGGAGGTGGTGGTGACGGGTGACGGCGGCCGTCGAGCAAACCGCGAGGGTAAAGGGGACCGGAGACCACGCCCCGCACGTGATCGCGTCGACGGCCAATCGGCGAGCGCCGTCGTCGCCTACCATGTTTGCTGCGATACGATGTGCTCTCTTGCCGCGGCCGCCGTCACAGGGCTACGTCGTCGACAATATTTTCGTCGACGCCGCCACCGATGATGATTTGACATAATTATTATTATTAGTATATACATAATATTATATTATATTAGTAATACACTTGTTCGACACCGCGGCGATAACGTATACCTTATAAAGAGATACTTATCGCGTGTCGTCGTCGTCGCGGTCAGCGCGTCCGACCGAAACGAATAAATAATTTATTATCATTGTTATTATTGTATTTACTCGAAAATCGTGTGTGGATCTATAACGCATAATAATACCTAATTACCGTATTATTATGTTGCTTCCGTGTAATTTGTTCCGTTTTATCGTGTTACACGGTTAATTTATAGCACGCGATCATAACGCTCTTTGTAATCGATGGCTACTTAAAAAAAAAATCATAGTCCATAGGTATATTTTTTAAGTTTAAAACTGGTTATTTCAGTTTTGGAGTTTCATTTTATTTTCTATTACAAACTGATCAATGTTGATTCGTTTATACTGTAAAATTGTCTCAATAGAAGTGTGCCATATACAAAATGTCGATACCTACATCCCCATAAATCATAATGCACCTGTAAATTACATTTGGATAGAAATTTTATCTGTAATTTATATGTATTTATAAGCTACATTTACAATGACAAAATCATCTGTTAATGATTTGGATAGTCGATAAATTTGCATGAGACTTGTTATTACTATTAATTGATCAATTGTATCAATTATTGTTATTGTAATACTATTTTCATCCATTTCTAATTGTAAGCAATTGTCAAGCTATGTATCTATTTGTAAAATATTTGTTTCTATTGATATCAATTTTGCTCAAAGTTACAAAAAATCACTTGGCTAATTTTTGTTTAGAAAGGGGATTTTTTCCTAAATTATTAGACTGAATGTAAATACGGTAAGCAAATCTATATTGCCAGTTGTATTTTTCTCTGAGGTTAAAACGAAAAATTATAATACCATTATACAATCGCAATATTTTTTATATTTACATATTTATAAATGTATTGATTTTATTTTTATTTTCATTTTGATATTAGGACCATCAATACACTACCAGTTATAAAACTGGTGTATTTAGACTTGGCGACCAATTAACAATAACACATACCTAAGAATCATGAATATATTTACTCTATAAAATTGTATATATTGAATACCTTCACAATAAGTTAACCAGAACTGTTGTTATAATAAACACATTTTTATAGTAAAATAATAATGAACGTACAAATGTTTATTTTATTGCATACCTATTTTTTTTTTCAACACTGTTCATTATGCGCCATTTTTTAATTTATCCATAGGAGCTTTGCAAACATTTAAGTATATATTAAGAATATAAGAGACGGTATTCCTTATAGAAATTTACCAATTAAATTACCATTGTTTATTTGTTTTGTTTGATGATTTATTAATACATTTTTTATAAGTAATTATTATAAGACTAAAACTTATTATTTGTCTTGTTATTTTATTCAAGTAGGTATTAATTCAAAATCTCGCTTAAAACAGGCAAGAAGAAAAATAAACACTGGCTCAGTATATTTTGTTACACAAAGCTGTGTGGTTCCATCGGATAGATTGGTTTTATAAGAAAAGATATTAAAAACGATATAATATCGATTTGATCATTTATGTGCAACTAAATTTCTGACATGAACAATCCAAATGTTTAAAATATGTCCAACTAGGCACAGAAGGGAAATTGTACAATAACGTGGCAATGTTATATACAATCAAATTTGGTTTATTATATATATATATATATATAGGTATATACACAGAAAAATACATAGTTTGTCCAACTAAAATTATGATTAATACAACACAATACATTTCTGGATGGAATAACTATAAATATAAACAGTTAATTATTTATTACTAAATATATTTATTTAGTAATAATTCCAACAATATAAATTACCGTATAAGCTTTTATCCATCGTCGCCCTCGTACGTTTCTGACTTGCTATGTATATATATATATATATATAATTCAATATATATATATATAAAGATCAGCGTTCGAGGGTTGCAATTAACGGGATTGCATCTATCTATGTATACCTGTGGGGCTTGTGTGTAGGTGGGTGTGTGAGAGAGCTGAGGGATTAAACGTGCGGAGAGAGGGTTGAAAGCACTACTGGCGGTTTTATATTAATGAGAGAGGCCTGGGGAATAATTCCCCGGGGAAAGGGAAATATACATGCTGCGGGACACATTAACGCGGACGATGGCCACTCGTGAATTATATTTATATACCTTTATATTATAAAACCCTTTTCGGTCGAGTTTTTGTATTATTTGCCCCGGTACATGTACATCTTTCAGGCTTGCGTTTAAGCGTATCTCGTTCATTACCTTAATGAACACGACCGACCGAGGTGCTAAATAATAATAATGATAAATATGTGTTCAACATGTATGTATATTCTCCCAATCGGTTTGATGATTATGTTGGGGGAAACGGCGTGCCTATCCAAGGCTGTATTACAGGTACTGTGCCGAGGGTCTACGATTTTTTATGTTTTTTTTTTTATTATTATAAGATAATAATATACAATTTGTGTAAGAACGTTAAGGACTCGTCACTCGTCGATACATTTGCCAAGAAGTGTTGTAGTTATAAAGTAATATATTATTAGTAATTTGCTTCATAATTATCAATTAGGTATTATTTTGTTTTAAGTATAGATATTATACATAATAACAATAATTTTATATGTAATTCAATTTGTAAGCATTTGTATACAAGCATTTGTATCAACTGTATAAATACCATATCATATGGTAGTTAATGGATATTTTAAAATGAAAAAAAAGTGCCGATACGTTACAGGTTAATCCAGGCCTGCGCCTATCTCATAATAGGTACAAGAGATAGCGCGCAGCTGTTAGATACCTATTCATTATTATTTCCTTATTTTCCTGTCACCGTTTGCGCTGTAGATGCGCTATGCATATAATAATACTAAAAATAATAATAATAATAATTTATACAACGCGAGGCAGCAATGGCCGAATTCGCAATCGATCACTCTTAGCATGTGACACGTCTATCATTGGTGCGGTGCTGCCGTTTCTCCCTTCCTTCGCCTTACTCGCCACACACACTCTCTTCTCGCTCTCGCCAAACTCACTCACCGTATAGTGTGTGTGTGTGTGTGTGTGTGTGTGCGAGTGTTCTCTTTCGCTTTCCGGCCACCATCGCACCGATCCGCGGGTTGTCACTCAAGGTCCAATTCCTTCGTACAGAGGTATATAGCACCTACCTATCTACACATCACGACGTTCTGCAAGGCGGTTTTCATCGGCTGAAAATCTCTTCTCCATCAGCACACCCCCACACCCACTCGACCTATAGCCTATATATAGAGTACATCATGCCCCATCCTCTCGCCGTACATACGCAAAACTAAGATCAATAGGTAAAAGTGCTATGTATGTATATATATTTCACACCTTATGCCTATACAAGTTGCCCCTTCCCCTATGCCTCCCCCTTCCTTAATGGAACGATTTCGAACTAGCGTCGACAATATTGTGTACATTTACATAGGACTTAGATAATTTAACAAATTAGGGTTTAGTAGTTTGCAGTGTGCAGCAAAAAAAAATTTTAAACATCATATTTAATAATAAATACACTCGGGTGCAGTAGCTAATATTGAAATATATATTTATGCGATCTCAATTTCTTATTTTTTTAATTTTTATAAATGTTGATTTACTTACTACTAGCATAATTGTTTGGAGACGATAATAGCAGATAAGGACAAAAAACACTTAAACATCCAAAGATATATTTTTAAATATTCACATTGTAAATGCACCAAATATGTACAAAAATCAAGTTGAATAAATATGTAATTGCATAGGTATAAATTATGATTAATTTATACCTATTATTAAATTTACAATTACCACCAGTTTTTACAACTACCTCACTTAATTCCGAGTATTAAATTACTTTGAGTTAATTTGATTAATATTATATCATATATATGAGTAAAATGATACAGTGTAACTAATTGTTTATCTAAGTACTTTTTATACAATACTCTCTGAATTTGTATGTTAAAAACTAATATCACTATGTAAACAAATAATGTAGGAACCAAATATTTGAAATAATTCTAATTTAAAAACTCTTTTTAATTCGTACAAAAATTATTAAGACTTTCTATTGTGCCATACTTGAACAACTCTAATCTATAGTGTAATTTTGGAACCAAAAGAGACACGTAAAAGCAATAACTTAACCTGGTTAAGTGCACCGACCAATGCAATGATGATCGACAAAGATGGTCCTTATAATTAATATATTATCTGTACATTGTATATTAATTTTTATTAATTAACAATTATCATTATTATTATTTTAGAAAATGTTGTAAGCAATAAACCGTCTATAGCTATAACTTAACCAAACCGAATTCGTTTCTTAGTATTTATTTTACAATGATTAATTCGTATTATAGTTTATTTGCTGATGTATATTATAATATTTAGTTTGGACGATTTGATTGTCCTAGACGTTTTGCGTTATAACTGGCCGGTCCAAGTAGGCGCTATCGTTTGTTGTAGTTAATTAATAATTATTTTTTTAACCACGTAGTACGTATAGCCGTTCTGATAACTTGTCCAGCACAATGGCGCCAGTTACTGTGTATGACAGACCTTATAAAGACTTTAGTGAGCTCTGTGTGAAGCCAA